ACACTCTGTTCAGAATATCCCCCATTCATTAGGTCGACAGGAGCAAGGATGTAGGACTAGAAATGGAACCTATTTGCTTTGCAGGTGTGCTGATTCACACTGTATTCATGGCTCCAATAATGGGCTCCCACTGCTGTACTGTGCCGTTATATGATTCGAGCATTACGGTGACACAGAGAACAAAGACACTTTTCCATCCGTGATTGACAGTGCTCATGTTACATCAGGTTTAATGAGATTAGTTTGCGGCCTTTCAGTTCAGAGGTGATCTGGGTAGAGATCAAGTGTCTAAAGTGAACTAGATTGAAGGTCACATTAACATTACATGGTTCAAGTGACCCAATTCCCAAAAAATATATATATTTTTTTATATTCCCTCCAATGTGGCACAGATCAGATATGACCCACGAATGTGTAAGCAGAAAAAAGCACATGGATTCCGATATTCTCAGATCGGTTTAGGCCTCATTCATAAGTGGAAATAAATCGAATGAATGAATCGGATGCGTGCCTTTGCATCTGCCAAGTGGACAGATCGAATATTCCCCTGTCAATTCAAGTCGTACGTCATTGAAAAAGTGACGGTGACGAATGACGTACCAACCACAGTGATTACAGCAGCGAGCATTGCTACATTTGCTCAGGCTGCAACAAGGCCTATTTTTTCCCTATGCCTTAGGAGACCAAATGTTTGCTGAACTTTAAAGACTTAAAGCGGAAAGCAAAAGCTTGTATTATCATTTTGTCTGCTTCCACTGCAAATCACGCTGTTTTTACTTCCTTCCCGGCCTAAGCTTTTTCAAATCAGTACCTCTACCTTGGGTTGTTTCGCTAAATGTATAGTGTAAATGCAGATATCGGATATGGGTCACTTTTAAAAGAAGCTGGTCTTCAAAGAAATCGGATATAGTTAACAAATTGGAATTGGGCATTAAGACCTGCAGTGTAAATGTGACCTAAGACTCTTGCAGTTACGGTTCATCTCCTGCCTTTTGAGGAGTAAGGGTTTCTTGTCTCAAGGGTCCCATCTTCCTTGTCCAGTTCCGGCCTACACGGAAGAGGCTCTTTATTGACTGAATAAAGTCAACAGTCTGCTGAGAGTGGCCGCATACCCTTTCAAGCCAGGGACTGATGGACGAAGTCAAGCAGTTATGAGCAAAAAGTATTTAAACCATCCATGTAATTGCTTAGGCATATATTGACACACCCTGTGACCGGTTTGATGGATTAGAGAGCACTGGAGACTCACTAAGTATTCCTGTTGGTTTCTACACTTGAAAGCCACATGAATATGGGAGATGCACATATTTGTCCATAAAATGTATTTGAGGTTAATATCATTACACCGGACCACAAGCAGAGTCATTTTATTTCCCTTTAGTGTGCATTCCTGAGTCTCGGTCTGAACACTTTGCTTTTCATGGAAGTGTCGTTCCCTCCTGAGGTTTGTGAATTGTGCTATTTGTGGTCTAGAATGTCTTTCCATCACAGCCGTAATGTTGATAATTAAGACAGATAATTTTGCCGAAGGGCCATTTATGGAGTTTTCTAGGAACCCAGCGGTGTGACGCAGGCTTCATTAACTGAGGAAAGTGACATCATTTCTGAAAGACCAGTGAACTTTAGAGAATTACTGTCAGTGGTGAAATTTACATATTTTCACTGAAGTCCACATCTGTTACTCTTTCAAGTATTATTTGATACTTTCCTCTCCCTCTGAGCTTTATAATTACACAGGCTGCATTTTTTTACTGTAACTTTAAGACTTGTACATGTAAATTAGTTCTGTTATAATTGGACTTGTCCACATACAGGAGTAGTTGTGCATGGAAGTTACCGAGTATGAAATGTCGTCGGCAGTGCTCCTAATGTCAGTCGACCAGTGATTGACTCTGATTTTGAGTGAAGATCTAGTTGGCCGACTGAGTGGCTGGATTTCATTCTCATGATCCTAATATCTCATGATTTGTCCAAATATGGAATTGAGCAATGTGTTTATGTACCCAGTGGGCTGTGCAGACTGTTTTAGACACTGGACATATCCAAACATCTAGTGAGAGTGAAAGCGTGACTCTTTCTTTCACTGCTTTTCTGTTTTTAATGATGATTATGATGATGTTTCATTTAATTTAAATAAAGGTTAAACATGAATTTGTCATTTGTTTAGGCCTGCTGGCGACGCAGAACTCATGTAAATGATAAACATGTCAGTGCTCAAGTTGGTGTTTTGTAAGCCTCTCGTTCTTGATCCCACAAGGACTGCAGGCTAAGGGTGAGCTGAGCCGTTTTCCCTCTGATATGTGAGGTGTTTTTGGGATATTCAGGGATTTGTGCACACCTGCATCGTTTGAACTCTGACGCTGCCTAGCCGCAGTTGACTCCCGTTTCCTCCTTGTCCATCTGCAAATAAAAGATTTGGTTCAGTAAGCTGGGTCACATGCAAGGGAAAATATATCAAATTACCTTTAGTGAGCCGTAGTGTCACTTTATTGTAATGAAATTTGGGAGAGTAAATGGAAAGTAACTGAACACTGTACATTTGAGACAAGCAAAGCAACAGCCCCCTGTTGCCAGATAAACTCACTAAATATAGAAACTTTTACATAAGGATTTCCAGGCTGGAGCATTATTGGGCACTGGCTATCAGATATATTCTAACTATACTATGAAAAATAATTGTAAATGAAAACAATAAATGTACATCTATATACACCATTCAAACGTTTGGGGTCTTCAGTGTCACATGATCCTTCAGAAATGCAGATTTGGTGCTTAAAAACATTTCTTATCAATGTTGGAAACAGTTACGTTGCTTCATGTTTTTGTGGAAACCTTGATACTTTTGTTCCTAAAGGCCTACTTTTGCAGTTCGGTTTGGTGTCCCAGTAGCAGAGTAATTTTACACTGTTGTCAGACATCAACTTGGGGTATTAAACTTTTGGTGAAAAGACATTATTATGTGCACTTTTCAATAGAGCAAAGCTTGTGTTTTGTTGGGGAAGATTTTAAAAGCCTCATGCACTTCGTGTGACACTTTCTTTAGTTTGTCTCTTCACTGGGGAGTCGGTCTCTGCAGGCCACTGTTCCAAATTCTTCTTCACCGGCTGTGACCCCAGCCTGACCTTTGCTGACTTGGGTCACACCAATACAAATCTGCCTGCATTACCTAGGACATGTGAGTGCTTGTAATTATAGATGCTGCATAAACAGGTTGATATTTGGAGAACACGCCAGCAAAGTTTGCATGAAAGCGAAATTGGCTCACATTTCTCGAGGTCCTGGGTGAAAATGAGGTTGGGAGTATCAGGTAACTGACATGCTGGTGCTGGCAGACGTTATGTGAGATGACTCAGCCTGCTAAAACACACATTGGCCAGTGTTGAATGTGCACAGACTGGGATATGGTGGCAAACAGTTCAGGAAAACACTGCAGATCCTCTTCATTGTGATGCTAAATTATGTAAACCATGGGCATGTGGAGCTTCCTTGAACATTGCTGAGTTTATGCTAAATAATACATGGCTACTTTAAATGACCATCAATAGATAGTGTGGTTACATCATCTAGCAGGGGCTGACTGAACTGAACCAGCCGAACTTTGACCCCTTTGTTCCACAAAATTGTTGTCCAAAAGTTAACTTCTGTTCTGTTGCAACACATTCTGACATGGGCATCCTTTACTCTTTGCAGAAATCTCTATGTTCAGCTCCCCACATTTTGGGATATAATCATTACTTTTCAAGTTAAAGTCCCTCCCACTTTTCAGACTGTTCCTAAACCCCTGATTTGCTCAGCACTACTGGAGCATTTGAGAATAATAGAAAGGAAGGGAGAACTATAAAAAGAAAGGGAAAAAAAGAGGAGGGTTGAAGGATGAAAAGAGAAATGCAGGGATGGAGAGAGGTGATTCAAGGGAAGGAGGGATGAGCAGTGAAGACTAGCACAAAGATTTATACCCTGTAATTTTCTCTGCCTGTTGCTCCCTCACACGTCACACCTCCCCCTCTGCTTCCAACACATAGCATCACATTTATTTGTATTTGTCGTCTTTCCCTCGCCCTCTCACATTCCTCTGGAATATTCCGTCTCATCTCTTCAGACAGACCAGCTGTACAAATTGGTGGTATTTAGAGTCATAAATTGCATCAAGTCAACAATAGTATTTGCAGCCCAATGTGACGACTCTTTGAGTGAAACAGGATATGCGATAAGATGAAAATGAAGGACGGAACTTGATTTTATCCATCATGAATTGATTGGGTCTTAAAAGTTGTCTTCAAATGGCAAGTGGTTGGCGATCTCAGCCAAAAAAGGAATGTGATTTGATGAAAGACTATTTTTGAGTAGCACCTTAAGAAGTAACGTGAGTGTTACTTTTGAGACGTTATCAGCAGCATTGGTTAAAAGTAAATGGGGTAGTTTTTTGATTTCATGTTGACTTGGAAGAAACTTAGTGAGTGAGTAGCTAATGTGTTTTTGGATGCATTATCCGGGAGGATTCCTCTCTTGGCATAATGCCCACCCATGACTCTCCTTCTGAAAGCTGTTTGATGAGCTCCAAAAAGTGTCTAATCGATCGCTTTGGGTTTTATCTCTTGTTTGCGTGCCAATAAGGCTCCATTTGCACGCTTGCACTGATACTCGCAAGAAACCCGGAGTGTAAACAAGCATGAAAAGAATGACGAATGCGTCCAGGTTTGGATGAATGCTTTTAGCTCTCTTATATAATTAGGCCATGAAATGAGTTCAGTGGCTGAATCTATTAACTTTAGCGTTGAAATAGAGCCCCTGAAGTAATAATTACTCCAATTCATCAGATGGAGTGTTCTGTCATGGGCATTGCTGAACTGAGAGATTCACAGCTTTTCTCTGGCAGGATTTCTTTTCAGAGCTCATTAAATGGAGTTCATAAAGAGTTTTTTAGTTTAACTGTTGGTTGATTTCTTTCTTTCTGGACCGTAAATGTTCTACCGTTTTGTCTGTCTTTTTGTTTCTTTTAGGTGTAATGAGAGGGCAGTTTGTGAGCAGATGATGGACGTTGAGGCGTCATATTCAGAGTTCATAAACTGTGATCGTACAGGTCGCAGGAACGCAGTGCCAGACATTAAAGGAGAGACGGTAGTGGTGGGGACCAGTGAACTAACCAAAGACATGGCTCAGATGGACCTGAAAGCTGCAGGTACGTCACACACCGAGCTTTACTGTTCATCTTGCAAGACAGCACCTGTATTGACATTTCTTCTTTTCCTTTAGAGTTGTCCTCCTCCTCATCTTCATCACCCTCCTCCTTACTTTTTCATAATCATCTTCTTTGTCTTCTTAGTCTCTTCCTCCTTTTCCATCCTCTTTTTCCTTCTCCTTTTTTGTTGTCATCGTCATCTTCTCTTCCTCCTCCTCCTCCTCCTTCAACAACTCTGTATCCTTCTTCCTCTTCTTTTTTCTTCTCCTCCACAATTCTCCATTTCAAACTTTGTTAATAATGTTCACCAGTTAAATCTATCATCTGTCTTGCATTTATTTGCATGAAGAGTTGTCATTGGTCCTCTTTATTGTATCTATTCGATCATGTATACCGTTTTATACTGAAATGTGTCATGTTTTGAAAATAAGTATAAGTGAAAACTATAAAGTGGTTATGCTATGAAAGCTAACCTTACTTAAAACTTTTAACACAGTACTTTTATTAAATTTATTCTGACAGTAATCCGTATAAGTAATTCTGCACAACTAGTGCTGCTCATGTGATAAAAGAACTGATAATGTCTCTTGACTGCCAGTGGTCTATTCGGTCATGTTATGCAACACTGCATCCATATGGCCCCTGTAATGACTTGCTTTGTGAATACGATAAGACTGAGATACATGAACACATTACAAGTGTAGTTTACCAAAGAAGATGTGAACCAAAGACTTTCACTGGCCTTTTCTTTCAAAATGTCCCTTACTTTATCCAGGACACGACTCTGTAAGGTCACAGCGTCCAGATTAAACACAAATAGGTTTGGTGAGGTTGAATGGAGACTGTCACCATTGACAAAGATTTATTATCTGCCCTCTCAACAATAACCGCTTCCTTGACCGTTTCCTATTCGTATGGGAACTTTTCAACTCTTTCCTACTGAAATAAGAGCCGCATCTGTCTCTATTTGACCCAGTTTCCTTAGTTCACATTCTTGGCACCATTTTATCTCTGAAATAACCTGAGACTTTCCCATGACCATGAGGACCCTGTCAAGAATGTGTAGCTGGGGATGTGCACATGTATGTTGTGGCAGTACGTTTTGTCATATCTGTGTCTTGTAGAGGTAGATGCTTCTGGATCTCCAGCCCCCGATGCAGAGGCCTCCGGGAGCCAGGACAATCAGGGGAAAGAGGGACCGTCATAAAGATCAAGAATGACCCGGAGGAGAGAGGAAAGCTGAGGAGTTCTCTCCTTTTCTCATCAAAATTCTCCTCATCTTTGCTCATCAGGCAACAGTGAAGAGTTCCTCTCATAGACTGCCATTAAGGTGGACGTCCACCCGTTGCATGCTGTTGAGTGCCTAAGAGACAGATGGAGAAGACACTGCCTTTGCAAACACCACTAAATGGGACGAATCTGTCAAGGACTGTATTCATTCACAGCGCTGAGTGAGGGAAAGTTGTTTTTTTCTTACAGAGGTTGAACAGAAGCACAGGCTTTTTGATATTTTTCCAACCTAAACTTAAACTAAACCGTTCAATCTCATGTTGAGCTACTGTATACTATAAAGTACCAAATATAGCCTTTTTGTTACTGCCTGACATGGATGGCTCAATTTTAATTCTCTTTTTTTTTAAACAATGACCACTACAGTTGAAGAAGTTCTGATTATAGAACAGAATTCTCAAATATTGCCTGAGGTCTGAAGAGATTTGTTTCTATACTTCATTACATATTGTAACACAAATGTAACATAATTAACAATATTTATGTAGTATCTTAAGTTACTGCTCCTGGCACTGTTTTGTGGTTTTTGTCAAACTCTCAAAAAACACTTGTTGAAACACATTGCATTTATATAGTGACTATAAATGGAAGTACCTCAAAATAAACAGGAATGACATTATTTCGCTTTCAGTGTCTTAATTCACAGTAAACATTCAGTCACTGAGAAAATTATGATTTATATGTAATGGATTATCATTATACCAACCAAATAAATAAATATGTGAACATAAATTGTAGTTGAAATTATGCTTATACTTTTCAAAAATAATAAAGAAAAATAGTAGGCTAAATTAAGGGGCAATTCATATAGAATTCAAATTCCACAGTACTGCTTACCCATCGTTTTTCTATGTAAATGTGCTACAGTGATTACAACATGAGTCTAACTATATTTTAGATGGACATTCTTTTTTCTAAATACAAGTTTACCTTGAACGCCATGAAAGTAGCGTCGCTTTTCAGCTATGCGGATACAAAGTTGCCATCGACAACAGCGAAAATACAGAAATATGAGACCGTGGAAAGCCCCGACTGACCAATTAAGACCCTCTTAATGATAACATTACAACATTTTTGTCATACCAAAGTTAAGAATCACAAGCATTCAAATGTAAAATTATTTGTATTGATAGTTTATACAGTGAAAGCTCTCAGTCCCTTCCTTCCCACAGTATTCATATAGTCCTAATGTTTTCCTATGCAGTTCAAGTTATACAACAGAAAATGTAAAACCTGACACAAATATGTTTCACTAAGCTGATAAACTCCAAACCTGAGTTATAAGAATCGTCTTTTGGTAAATGCCCTCTGGTGTTGGAACAAAGCAACGACAAAATTAAAAAAGGTTTTGCACAGCATTTCATCATCAGACCCGGTAACATCTAATAATAACTATAATATTAATAGTCATTTAATTGTTACCCAAAGGTTTGTATAATGCATAGGCTATACAATATACATAAGATAAGCACCATACATAAGATCATATTCTGGTTTCATGTTTTGGATTTATACATTCTTACCACTGTAAAAAAAAAAAAAGCTGAGGTACTAAATTAATTTGATTCACATAGCACCTTTCATACATTGTACAGCTTAACATGTTTAACATTATGTTTTTCTTTACATTATGGTCATATTCTGTGCTTGTACTGAGAATAGCATAAAGTATAGTGGTTTATACTAAGTAAATATGAAATAAGACTAATATTTAATGTTTAGGCTACAGATATTACAAAACCTGAGGAAAAAATGTTCATGTAGATGAAAATCAGTGGTTAATGAAATATACAGACAAATGTAACATTTATTTTGATGAACTTATTCGTCTTAAGTTAAATCTTTGATGGAGGGTTGTATTTATGGTCTTTATTATTTTTGTGTAAATATTAAATTGAGAAATATGTATGAGTTCTCCAGGTTTCAAGGAATCAGGACCCACATTCACTTGTGAAAAGGCAAATGCCCTGAAAGGCTCTGTTCACTGCATACTTGTTTACAACAGCGCTGCGCTCAAAAGCTGGTGCTTAGCACCATGTCATAGGCCTTATAGAGTTGATTAAGAAGCTCCTTTTTCTCATTTTCAGGAAGGAAGCAGGACTTGGCTGCATTTATATTCTGTGGGAAGGGAAGCAGACAGGTTAAATAAAATCATTTTCTCCATGATATTTGTATCTTGGACTCCATTAGAGTGTTTTTGGCAAATTGTATCTCACCAGTCTCTCGAATTCTTCTTCAGTGAAGCCCATGTATTTCTGCACCACCTGGTAGTCTGAGTTTAAGTTGGAGTCAAAGATGGTAGGATCATCTGTGTTTAAGGAGTAGTTGGCTTTGTCCTTCTTGAATCTGAAACACAACAGGGCTTTGTGTTTAACTTAACTTCCAACTAGTTAACCCTGGGTCATTCTAAACCCTGGGTAAACGGAATCCTAGGTTACTTTAGGGCTTTCCACACTGCGCTTAACCTGGGTTATGTTCTAAACCCTGATTTTAACCCCATAAGGAACGTTTCACACTTGTAATTTAGAATGGAGTGGATGAATTGTGTTAGAATGTTATGGCAAGATGCTTAGCTACAGACAGCCAATCATATTGCTCATATCCACTGGCTTTGGACAGTCACAGACATGTACATTTTTCAGCGTTTGAGGGGACAAATGTCAGGTATGCTTAACATTCTGTCCTTTTTAATGTCGCATCTTATCACATCACATCCTGTTTTTGGTTCGCTTAGATTTCTTTAGTCCGTGTTGCGTTCATATTTCAGTCGAACCGCGCCAGAGTTCATTTTGAAGCGGACTGAGACTCATCTTTTCAGCGGTCTCTGTCCACTTGCTTGGTGTGTTCGGATGACAGTGTTCACAATAAACTGTTCAAAGGAACCACACTAACAGAGCAATCGCACCAAGTTTGTTTTAATCGAACCAAAGCTGCCAAGTGTGAACACACCCTAAATTACAAGTGTGAAACCTTCCTTTACCCGGGGTTAAAAGTGGGGCTTAGAACGAAGATAACCTGTGGTTAAGCATGGTGTGAAAAGCTCTAACATGAATTGCCCAATTTACTTCTGAAATGTGTCAATTATTAAAAATGTACAGCGGTAGGCCTATTTTATTTTATCCTTCTGGAATGGATTAGCTGAAAAAAGTGGACGTTATACGCAACAGAAATGAAGTCAGACCGAATGGGAGTTTGCTAAAGCAGTGTTAAAATAGCTATTTGTTGACATCATCAAATATCCCAAATGGCCTGACTGATGGAAAAGTGGAATAACATGCACCAATATATCGTTCACAATAAGACCAGGAACATGCATTAAAAAATGTAATGAAGTAAATAAACCTATTCTCACGTGATGAGAGGATGTTTAGTGAAGTCTGGGTCACAGGCTCCAGTCAGTCTGCTAGAGATAGGACACGTCTAAAACAAGAACACACACAAACACCATCAAGATCACAGTGACGTTGAACATTGTGTGTATGTCTTTAAACATCTCATAAATATTCTGGTAGCAAAAATATAAATATTATTACACTGACAGACTGTACAGTGACATGTATAAACAGATGTTAACTAAATTGTCCACTAGAGGGCTGTATGGGTTTACATTTCAGGAAATATTCCACTCTGTGTTTCTCAGTCCCATTTCTGTCCAGAGCCCCATAATGCAACTTTCATGTCTCACTAATCTGACACACCCAATTCAGGCCAAGGAGCACCCAACGAGATGTTACATAACGAAGATATCAGGGTAAGTGGCCATAACCTATGCAATAATATCTGGTTATCTGTGTCAAATATTTTCAAAGGTGACAAACATCAAAATGCGCAATATACTAGCAAGTGTGAGTGTATGTATGTATGTATGTGTGTGTGTATATGTATATACAGTATACAGTAGTCAACATTTGAAGTGGATCAAAAAAGTTCATCAAAGTTGTCCTAAGACAAGAACGGGTATTGTTCAAAATTCATGTATATCTTTGATGAAAGGTTTTGATCCACTTCATATGTATGTATGCATTATTTGCCCCCTTGGTAAATATGATCAAAGATGGCTATAAAAAATAAATCTGCATTGTTTATCCTTTTGATATTTTATTTTTAAAAATGGCAAAAATCTAACCTTTTATTGAAGTAAAATAATTGAAAGTGGGGGGAAAATCACATTATGAAATAAATGTTTTTCTCCAAAACACGTTGGGAACAATTATTTGCCCCCTTTTATTAAATACTTTTTGCAACCTCCTTTTTCCAAGAGAACAGCTCTGAGTCTTCTATAATCTGTAATGCCTGATGAGTTTGGAGAACACCTGACCAGAGATCAGAGACCATTCCTACAGAATCTCTCACAGATCCATGCTGGCGCTTCTTCTCTTCAGTTCAGCCAACTCCTGTATGGAGGAATGATCTCTGATCTCGTCAGCTGTTCTCCAAACTCATCAGGCATTAAAGGAGAAGACTCAGAGCCCCCCCCCTCCCCACCCCAAGTCTACTATGCTCAACAAAACTGCATTTATTTGATAAAAAATACAGTAAAACAATAATGTTGTGAAATATTATAATTTAAAATCATAGTTTAGTATTTTAATATATTTTAAAATGTAATTTATTCCTGTGATGGTAAAGCTGAACTTTCAGCATCATTACTCCAGTCTTCAGTGTCACATGATCCTTCAGAAATCAGTCTAATGTTCTGATTTGGTGGTCAGAAAACATTTCTTCTTCTTCTTCTTCTTATTATTATTATTATTATCAAAATTTGTACATTTTTCATATACATTTTTCTTTAGGATTTTTTGGTAAATCGAATGTTCAAAAGAAGCATTTATTTAAAATAGAAATCTTTTGTGACATTATAAATGTCTTTACTGTCACGTTTGATCAATAATGCATCTTTTCTGAATAAAAGTATTCATTTCTTATAGTGAAATTAGTTCTGAGAAAAGCTTTATCATCATTGTTTGCAAATGCTACTTTCTCATTGGGCCATTATTGTATATGAGCACTTTGACCAAGACTGGAGTCCAGTGCAACATGCAGATCTATATGACACATTGTAAAAGTCATGCACATTAATGGCATTTTTATCAGACTAATGATGTAAATTTATGTGGATGTGTATCTCAAAGTGATTTCTGCAACTGTCAGAAAGCTGCCATCTACTGTTACCTCAAAATGCATGTTTTGTTGGAGCAGTTGTTGGTACAGCGCTGGATCTTTAGGCGTGTTGTATCCGTGTCCAATGCGTTCTGCTTTCAGAACTTCCACAGCCTGCAAAGGGAACATATATTATGCAAAGGGTTGGCAAAAATATTCAGATTCAAGGGTGTTTTTTTTTTTTGT